TTCTCGAATTCCAGTTTATCAGAGTATTCTTTGGTAAGTTTCACTTTCTCATCTTGAAAGTTTAATTTTGCATTAGTCAAGTCATCTTCTTTTATTTTAAGTGTAGAAGTAACATCTTCATATTTAGCCTTGAGGGAAGCCATCTCTAGGGAAAGCTTCTTGTATTCTTTGGCGATAACAACAGAGTATGTAGTGCCCTATAAATAAATAAATAGTGGCGAACAGTTAAAAATAAATAAATAAATAAACGAAAAAAAGAGATGCGCATAATAAGGGTAAAATCTCACCTGGCTGATTAGATGAAGAAATTTCTTTGAAAGCTCAGATGCTGGCAGACTCTGCAATCTAGCAGTGTCGTCTTTTACTACCATTTTATGTAACCTGTCATTCACGACATTAGCGTCATCGAGAACCGATTCCCAGTGGGAAAAGGCTTGGTTGGTTGATACTGAACAAAAACTTTCGAAACTAGTAGGAACCCCACCAAATCCGCTGAAACCTAGAGGTACAAGAGTAGGACCTGATAACACTCCAGGGCTTACAGATGTACCATGATTCCCTTCTCCTACCCTTCGTAATTTTTTGGAAGCAGGAGTAGAAGGGAGATTACTTGACCGGACTTGGGCTAGGAGTCTTTTACTGAGCTTCTTGCCTGCATAAAAAGTAATAAGGGAAATACTTAATGAAATATTAACTAAAATCAATAAGTTCACATATAAGTATATTTGTTTTTCTTACCTTTCTCTAAGTGGGTGGAGGTTTCCTTTGAGCTATGAGCTGGTACATACAAATCTAAAGCCTCGTCAGTTATGAGATCGCTAAAGGTCTTTACTGGGTAAGAAGAGGCATTACCAACATGCTTGGCTTCTGGAATGGAGAGGGTTGGTTTGTCCTTAAATTTTGGGAAAAAGAATAATAAGTTGCACTTAAAAAAAAAAAAATTTCATATTCATGAACAGTACCCGCGGTACTGTACTGTTCCCTTGAGAAAAAAAAAAAAAATTCATGAACAGTACCCGAGGGTACTATTCCCTCAGGTGTAAAAAAAAAAAAAAAAATGTTCCTATTCATGAACAGTACCCGAGGGTACTATTCCCTCGGGTACCAAAAAAAAAAAAAAAAAAAAAAAAATCCTATTCATGAACAGTACCCGAGGGTACTATTCCCTCGGGTGCAAAAAAAAAAAAAATTCCTATTCATGAACAGTACCCCGAGGGTACTATTCCCTCGGGTACACAAAAAAAAAAAAAAAAAAAAATCCTATTCATGAACAATGCCCGAGGGTACTATTCCCTCGGGTGCAAAAAAAAAAAAAAAAAAAAAAAAAAATCCTATTCAGGAACAGTACCCGAGGGTACTGTTCCCTCGGGTGCAAAAAAAAAAAAAAAAGTAATAATAATAATTCGGAAACTATATACATATAAATCTTACCTGTTGGATCTGAATTATTCCCAATAGTTGGAAATTTCCCGTATGCACCGGAAATAAAGAAGAAACGACTCTTCCAACCTTTATTATTTTCAGGGGTTGCAACAAGGAGGAATGTCTTCTTTGATCTACATTGGAAGTACCAAAAATTGTCTTTTTTCTTCTTGGGATAATAAAAATGCAGGAATTGATTTACTGTTAGACGGCCATTGCCACACTTTCCCCAAACAATCAAACAGCCTATAATAATTCTCCATGAATTAGGAGGAATTTGAGAAGGAGCTATCTTCAGATGAGAAAGAATTTCTTCTACAAATGGATGAATCGGAAAACGCAAGCCCGCAGCAAAAGTCGACTCGAAAAAACATACCTCACCCAAACGAATAGAAGAACATCTATCTTCTGGTTTGGGTTTGTGAAGACGAATAGATGAAGGAATGGAATATTTAACTCTACAACTCTGTAAATTCTCATCCTTCATTAAGGATTCTCCTTCACGAGGAGGTTGCTTGGAAAAAGCAGTCCTTGGTCTTGAGGAGTAATCAACACCAGATTCATCAGCATAGTCAGGATCGAGTTCTTCAACACTTTCAGAGGTTGAGTCCTCAGATTGAGATTCAGTATTTAAGTTATTTTTCTGCATGAACATGATGAGGTATCGGATATCGCGAAAATAGCGAAACCACTTTGGAATTACACCAATAACCTGGTAGAGACAACTTGACCTAATTACGTATCTACAACGATCCACAATAAACTCACAGTTAGGATCCAGTTTGGAGGATTTCAGACCAAAAAGAAAAGGAAGGTAAATAAATAAATAAATATATTTATTTATTTATAGGAAAGAAAATTCTTTTTCAAGTAACAGTGAAGTTCTTGTAAAGGAGTCCTACTACAATATGGAAGGGGCCTGTAGTAAAAAGGAAACAAATGGAATATAGAAAGTATTTCCTTGGTCCACCACGTACCCAGAAATAGGGGGCAACTAATAGGGAAAAATAACCCTAACCTATCTTGACTTAACAAAAAAGGGAATTAAATATTGACCGGTCACCAGATTTCTCCAACTCTCAGACGATAATATCTCGTTATTAAGGATAACCATTCTATTAGATAAGAATGATGACAAATCGCATCTAGGATAGGATTTGTCATGGGGTAAGCTCAAATCTTATCAAGAATAGGATTTCCACGAGGTAGGCTCCATGAGCTAAGGACGATGAAATTCCCTTATCAAGAATAAGGGAAGTGACTATAAATACAAAGACGACTCGGGAATAAGGTACACACAAAAAAACTCCTACTAAGCAAATTACGATTAAAATTCTCTATCGAGAATCCTTGCTAACTTGATCATCGGAGGGTCAACGGCCGGCACCACACCGGTGTTTGACTTTGCCATCCTTATTTTGCAGGAAACGGTGTCGTATTAGACCGCGGCGAAATTCAACCTCAACATTTATCTTTCTATGCAGGTAGAATCATAATGCATTTGCTGCCATGGGATCTCCCATAGCCCATTTAAAATAACATGTTGTATTCCCAGTTAATTGCCTGGATCTGCTTGTTTATTGCATTTGCAAGAAATAATTAGTTATCTGCTCTTTAGTTTGAAACCAGATATTAAAAAAACCAGATATTTAGCTTTTGTGTGTGTATATATAGATAGATAGCTTTGATTTATGAGAGGAGATTTCCAGTATCTATTTATGTTGATGATTCATTGTTCGACTAGACGAAGTCATAATAAATTTTAACCGAGAAGTTAATTCTTTGAATTAATTTCAATTATTTTGAACTGTTATGGGCCTGGGTTGGGCTGGTTTCTTCTTATGTCCTTTATAGAATTGGGCCATATTTTGTTGGCCCTTTTTATTTTGTTTTGTTTTGTTTTTCTTTTTCTTTTTCTGTAGCTGAACCCTTTGGCTGTGGGCCGTTTGTTTGAGCCTTGGAGTAAACTTTAAATATATTGTTATTATTTCTTTTTCTTTATTTTATTCACTTATTTTTTGGGAAAAAAAAAAAAAAAAAAACTTAATTGAACTCTAAAGTTTGAGTAGGAAAAAGAATCAAAATATGAATGAGAAATAGTAAAATTTATTTATAGATGTTTGCCTTATACATGATAGTTTTCAAATGATCATTAAACTAACTTAACACAATTTCACCTACGGAAAATTGATACAGGCATCATTTATCAAAAGAAAATTGATTACTGTGTTTAATAAAATTGAAAATGAATTACTAAAAATTGTAAGAGTTGAATCTTAAACTTACTTAATTGAATAAATACTTAATCTGTTTAGATAATAGAATTATCAAACAATTATGTTAAAAAAGTACCCAATGACCTTTGGTAAACGTATCATTTAAATAGCTCGCCTTAGTAGGCTCCTCAAACAATAGGGGTCACCCATGCACGTTTAACATTATTTTTTAATTTTTTAAAAATAATTTCCTAGATTTTAAAAAAAATTTAAATTATTTTAAAATTTTGAAACAAACATTTCTCAAATTCTATTGAAATTATATTTTGTAGTCAATATAGTTATAGTTCTTTTATTGCAGATCAAATTATATAAATTCTCAACTTATTGAACCAAAATTTGATCATTATTTGTTAGAATAAACCTGTTTAATGGTACAATATATATATATATATGGTACGATTTAACTCTCATATTCTCTCATTGAGCTGGGAATGCACATAACATAAATTTTTGTATTTGTAATATATATATATATATAAAATAATTTTTCTCATGGTTCCAGACTTCCAGTGATTTTTCAGCGGAGACAATGTTTTTTCTGTTGGGCCTCAGGTCTTCCGTTATGCCGAATATTCGATCTAAAATCTGTTTTGGTCCAACCCAAACTAACTCGGTATAGCCTGATGAAAACTCTGTGCCTTATTTGTTGGCTTGGTGAAACAATAAAATTAGCTGCCAATCAAAGTGTTATACTGTATATATATATATTCTCAAGGAAACTTAGTAATTACAAACCTCAAGTCAATCAAGTGTTTCAAAACATTAATATAATATAACAAAGAGTTTCATTAGTACATTAATATATAATATTAAAAAGGTATTTATTTAATATTAAAAAATAACTATTAAAATATATATTGACGCCTTGCCCCTAAATAATCAAGAACTAACCGTTTTTTTAAACTTCACAAGCGAGATAAGATAAAAAAAAAAATCATTTTATATCACATAAAAGACTATCCCGGTGAAGGAAAAAAAGAAGAAGCTAATAAGTGTGCATCAAATTTAAGCAAGATTCACCAACATTCAAATAAGAAGAGAATTTCACCAAGTACTCACTGAAAAAAATTACAAATTAAATTAAATCGGTTCGGTAATTACACATGTAAAATTATAGGTAGCTTATTTTCAATTTGGTCAATCCATCCTAAACCATGAATAGTCGCATCAACCATGGTCACTTTTGTATGTAAATTGAAAAAATAAAAGCAAGGAATTAGTAACTGCATATTATCATTGTCACTTTTGTATGTAAAATGAAAGTTTATCTGTAAAATGAAAAAAACAGAAAACAAGAAATTAATAAGTAACTGCGTATTACTATGGTTACTTTTGTATGAAAAATGAAAGTTTTACCTGTAAAATGAAAAAACACAGAAAGCAAGGAAAAGTACCTGCATATTAAATAGTATAATTAAAAACATAATTAGTACTTCAAAAATGCCAACGGATTGCAAAAATGAATAAATGCTTCGCATCATTCTCACTGCTGCCAGTGTCACCTTCCCTGCCTATGAAGGAATTCCGAATTCTGGAAATTAGGCTGCGGCTTGATGATAAACTTCTTGCACTTGGTCCGTAGAAACAGGCAGCCTTCACCAAATGTTTTATTGGCGCATGATAACTTTTAATGCTACCAAAAGGTGGAGTGCCAGACCCGTGACAAAAATGAACCAGAATGGTTGGCTATCAGCCATCACCAACACGTAGGCAAATAGGAAGTTGAAAGTTAGACCAATACAATATCTTACCATTTTAGGGAGAGCATGTATATACATCCAAAATGCTCTCAGAGGTCCCTGAAATAGAAGAAATAAACAGCATATAACACAAATAGAGATAGAAGCAATCTTCATACTTTTTTCTTGGTTGGGCGTGGGTGGTTCGAATTTCAAACATCCCTTGTCATTTGGGACAAGGACCAAATACCTATTCACCCTAAGGCCGTATCATAAGGAAAATATGACAATCAATGAAGAAACATAAAGGCCAAGCCACAATAGGTACAACTATTCTTTGATTTTGATTTCTTTAATGATTTGTTCTCTAGTACGTTGTGGGACTCTGGGTTGTTGTGATACCCCTCGATTCTAGAGCCACGGGTGATCAAGTCCGGACACAGATCCGAGGGATACCAGACAATCAATATATAAACAAGCAAGAATAAAACTGAATTAAGAATAAAATAATGATACGCTGAAAAGAATTCTAATTGTAAAACCTCCAAAATAAAAGTTTTAATATAAATAAACTTTCCAATCCGTACAACTCGGGAATCCATCTAGTGGACCCCTAATATTTCCAACTGGTAAAACATTTACAGAATTAAAATCCAAAACCAAAATAAGAAAGAAAATCCTATGTAGTCGGAAGAGTGAGTGACTGTATCTGCATCACCACGATCAAACCCTAAGCCTGGTACTCACGATCACCTGAAAAAAATAAAGGTGGGTCAGGCCCACATGCAAGTTCCATCCTACTACAATCCGTACATAAACCCGATACGCAGATACATCCTAGATAGCTCGGCAATATCTACAATAGTCCATAGATATATAAATACACACTATAGGATGCTCACTAGCCTATATCATAGTTCAGCCTGGGTAGAAGGTGACCTATAAAATACGCTTTTCAGCGGCCAAGTACCTAGACCTACCAGGGAACATTTGCTATATCTAGCTACTCAACCTTTGCGATATATGCACCCTAACCGTGATCAGGAGACTCAAGCTCGTATCACAGTACCATAAATATATATATAAATTCCTTCCTAATGCCGAAAGATAAAACAAGCATCCATTATGTCGTTCAACTGTTTTAGTTGACAGGATATGTATCCATGTAGGAGTTAACTATTTTAGTTAATCCATTCCGTATGTAAGAAGGGGTAGGACTTAGCTTTTTGATCTAATCCATCCCTGATATGTCACCGTCCCATACCGGTACATATAATGCAAATGATCCATAAACGATGCACATTCATTAGAACATCAAATAAATTCAGAAACTAGCATAATAGAAAATTGATATTATTAAGATCCTATTATGCATCCAGTATATGATTATAATCATAGATCCTCCTTTTAAATTGTTAAAGTACTGATAAACAATTTAAGTCATCCATTTTCATATAATTGACAGAACAGAAATTATGACAGTTCAGCAATTATCATCCATAACATAATATAATGAAAAACAGAATTATAAACTGCACATTATACTAGAATTCCTAACCAATACATCCATACTAGTTCATTTACATTATTAAAACGAAGACTAGCATATAAATCCTCCTCAATCCTTGTCGGCATGTAAATTAATATTTAATTCTCATGGCGACTATTTAATCCTTAACTATAAGTCCGAAGCATGATCTAATGATACTCAGATATAAAAACTGAACACTTTTTTTTTGAATGCCAAAACCACCTCCATGCTAGTCCATTTAGTTTTCTAAAGCAAGACTAGCAATTACAACTTCCACTGCTCCTGACAGCATATAATTTAGTATCTAAATTTCATGATGTCTATAACTGTAGTAGAAACCAACATTCCTGGGACCCATACATTATATATTTCATTTATATAACCTCACAAAAACAACTTTTATTTTAGTCCGTTTAATTTACTAGTACCACGCTAGAAATTAACCCTTCCACCCTCCTTAACTGCATGCTTAATTAATAATTAAAAGTCATGACATCCACTCCCATAGCCTCAACCAATAATTCTAGGTCTTTTAATAAATTAAATACATCATTTTAAAACCTCTCCATTAAATTTGCTTAAACATCACGACAAGCAATTTAATTTCTTCCAAGCCGTAAACCGCATGTGAATTTAATTTTAAATCCCAAGTTGATCAAGTTCCTAACATGAATTAATTATTCATGGGTAGAATTAATCATTCTTGGGTATAATCCTATTTAATTACATCATTCAAATCCATTAAACCAAGTTTAAACACACACTGGAGCCCTGAAATCACAAAATTCACGTACTGGCACTTTATAAAATTGGAGCCCCCTCCAATTTTAAGTTGAGCCGGCTCCAATTTTAAGTTGAGCCGCCTCAACTCTTTGTGGAGCCGGCTCCACTTCAATGGAGCCGCCTCCATTGAAGTGTGGAGCCGCCTCCACTTCCCCAGCCTCCGTTTTTCCTTCTTTACTTCCTCTGTGTTGCCTTCTTCGTGTCCGGCAAAGCCTCCGCCCTCTGTCCCACCTTTTGTTAAAGATTTCTAAGGTTCAAATTAAGTCCTAACAAGCCTAGAAACTTCTTTTATTCCAGCATGAATTACCTAGCAAAAGCTTAAACCATGAACGCAACAGTTTATGTTTTCTCCGTTTATCTTCTTCGCGTCCGGCGAAGTTCAACCCTCCGTTCTAGAATTTTTCTTACATTCCTAGGGTTCAATTCAAGTTCATTAAATCCTAGAAACTCCTCAAATTCTCTTGTGAAATTAATGACAAAAAAATTTAAAACCAAAACACAACAGTTCATAGTTTCAAAAGCGAACAGGGGTTTAAAATTGTACAGAGACTCTATCACGCATAAACATCCATTTTAATAATTAAATTAGATTCCTGGAGACTATAGAGAATGCACAGAACACAAGTTTACAGGAAGGAGATAGAATGAAACTTGCCTTTAGGTTTCGGTTTGAAACCTTTCAACGCCGTTGCTAACTAGTCCGACGAACTGTAGACTACCGGCAACTCTCCTACTGCTCCAGTTCTATCTCAGCATCAACCTCTTCCTTCCTCTATGGTACACCTTTAGTCCATAGATGAAAGCTTAATTGATTCTCTCTGTGTCCCTCTGTGTTTTTCCCCTCAAACCTCTCTGTTTCTCTCTTCTCTAGTTTCCCTCTGTTTACCTCTCCAGATTATTACGTGAAAAGGGTGTCTTGCAGACAAATATTTTTCTATATATATAGACTCATGCAAAAAACCCTAATCCTAATTCCAGCCCAAGTATAATTCGGCCAACCAAAATACTTAACACCAAAACCCTAAACGTAAATATAACTACAACCATATAACTTAAATCAAATAAGTCACACAAACCATTTAAAAACACGTAATAATAAAAAAAATACCAATTAATCAAATAAATAAAATAAATCCCAATTGCACGTAATTAAGTTAAAATAAATAAACAATATAAAACAAATACACAATACCAATTTTAAACAAGTAAAACAATTAACCACTAAGCCAGATAAATCATATTTAAATGCACACAAAACAAATAATCAATTTATCAATTTAAAATGCACATAAATAATTAATTAAATTTCCATTATATCCTTTTTAAAATTAGGGGTATTACATTCTTCCCCCCTAACAAAAGGAATTCCGTCCTCGGAATTCACAAAACTCTGAATTAATATCTTTGCAAAATTCATTTCCGTTTTCGTGTGGCACAGCCCCTTTAGATGAGCGCTACCCAAATTCTAACACATCCAACCATATACAATATTCCTATGTTTAAGAAATAGCATAAATATGCAACTCCTAGATTGTATCTAGCAACGATCCAATCTTACCCAATATTTAATGAAGGGTAACCATCCCTCGTCCTTCCAATTCCATAGAACTAACACCTAAAAGTCCTATGCATCCAGCTCTTAACAAGTTGGTAACGCTAAACAATAGGCTACTGCCGAAACCAATAACCAATACCCGTGAAGAGTCAGTGCGATACAGAAAACTGACTTTCCTCCAAAACACATTGCTTCTGATACGGAAAACCGCTCAAACAACCCTTCCCTGATAGAAAACTCCCATGTACGAGTTTAACTAGCTACAAAATCCCACTGTCGCCTCCAAACCGTGAGCACTCAGTACCAAAAGAGAGCATGGTTCTCCAATGTATCCTTACATAAAGTCAAGGTCTTATCAGATAACTTCGCTTCCATGTCGGACCAACCATTAAGAGATCGACACAACCCGACTATCTAAAATCCCAAACATTGTTGCACGAACCTCCTTGTGCCAACAATAACACAGATAATATCTGAAATGGTAAGTAACACTTTCAATTACCCATGCCAACCTAGGATACATATCCTAAGCATATTTGCCATGATTAAATAGAATATCGCGGTCCAATTTCCCGTCTAGAGATGCAAAGCATAGTTGTTGCTCCAACACCTTCAGAAAGCTCCTTTGACATAGCAGCAGTTATCTTCCATATTGAATAACCACATGCTATACCTCCATTATCAGCGTAATGTACAACTGATAAGAAACGCCAAATATTCTAAGTTGACCACTTCCATTTCCCTGGTAACAGTAGGTGTTATAATTTCCACATGTTAAACCACAACGGTTTGCGCAATAACCACCGAAGGTTCAATTGTCATACCGGTTGATAAGATCATCCTCTGCCCTATCACTTCCACCAGACGTTGCTTAAAGCAAAGTGTGAATCACCACATCTATCCATCTAAGCCGTCTCGTGATCCGCGCTATTCGTAGGAACTGATATCTTACTAGTTCCCAAAATAGACAAAATGAAACTGATTTAAGTTTATCAGTCAACGATCTCCCAACCAGAATCCTGACCTTTGTGTAGAATCGGTAATCTCTCATCTAAATCCGTGGAAACTACTCTGTCAGTCCCGCTCTAGCATGAGAAGTGGCCGCAAGGATCTAATGATCTCTGACGGTCCATCTAGATTATGTACTAGATATCAGACTTTGAGACGGATATTAGATGTTTGGTCTCATCCTCAAGTCTTTGACATCTTACCTTTCTAACATAAATAAGTGGCTAGTAGACATCCCGTCTA